ACTCATCTGACTACCACTTTACAATAGGATACTACCAATCTGATGATATTTTCTCATAAGAAAGTGAAAAAAAATGAAAAAATTTTTAAAACAATACAAAGGTATAGAAGATAATATTGAAAAAATACAAACAAGAAAAGAAAAGTATAAGGAGAGAACAAAAAAACTAAACTAAATACAGATTTTTTACTTGCACCAAATAATTATAATTATAAGCCTGTATCTGGCTCTATAAAAATTATATACTACTATTTAAACTAATCACTACTTTAATCTATATATATAGTATATCTAAAATAAGAAAAAAACTTTGTAACAAAGTAAAAAAAAATAGCTTCTTTAATGTTAGCATTATAAAAAGGTCAGAAAGGTCAAAATTTTACACTAATGATTTTGAGTCATTATTTGTCTAGGTTGTTATATTCAAGGCATATAATCTATATATCCACATTTTAATAAACAATATATTAGAAAAAAAAGCCAAATTACTACTTTTTTACAAAATTTTTTCTAAAAAAAAGTAAAGAATCAATAAGAATATATGAGATTCTTCTATAAGTTTTACAGTTATATAGGCAATTCTTCAAGCTTTAACTATCTTAGCAAAAGTCTTTTGACTATTGCTTGTTTTCAAAATAGCCCTTCTGGTTTGAATACTAAATAACTTGAGAAGTCTGTTCAACAAATTAGCAAAGAAACTTGATCTCAAAAAAACCATCCAAGTTATGCCTACTTTTCAGTATATTATATCTTTTGAACTTTGTTAACAACAATCTACACGAAGATAAAAACAGTTTCTAGAATACTCTTCTAGTTTGGATGCTGAATAATTTAAAGAGTCTACTAGAAATAGCAAAGTTTAACTTCAAGTAAAACTGCTAAAATATACACATTCCTGGTATTTCACATCTTCAGCCTTTGTTGACAACTACTTTACTTTAAAGTAGGACTGAGAAGTATCTATCTTGGATATTCCTATATCATTTTTCTGTAGTTCAGTTTTGTTATTGTTGTTCAGAAAATTATTAGAAAAAGTTGTTGAGTTGTAATGCTTCTTCCTTTTTCTTTAGAGCTCTGAGTCTGATTTTATAGTAATCTTTATATATTTTTTATAGTTTTTTAATTATTTTGTTTATATAAATTTGTAAACAGAGGCTTAGCAGAAAGAGTTTAAAATATGATAGATGTTTTGGTTTGATTTAATAGTTTTCTTTAGAATCTGGCTATAATTTAGAACTATTAGAATACCAAAATAATCATTGTGCATTATAGTCAATATAACTATAACCATCATAATAATTTACTTTATAAGGAATTATATCTAAAAAATTCTTATTATTGGGATAATTATCTGTCTTTAGAGAATTTCAAACATGAGTTACTAATAATTCAGGCCTCTGTTTGTAATTTTTCTAAGCTTTTATATAATTCATATATAACTATTTTGAGTTTGGAGTCTAAAACAGTTACAATCTCAATGCTTCTGTATTAAATCACTAAATTTAAGAATTTTTATATATCTACTTCTTAAGAAATAGTGCTTCTTTTTCAGCTTCACATTAATATTAACACAAATTACTTTCCAATACCTAAAGCAAATTGTAGTCCTATTTTTGAATAGCTTTGAACAATAGTAATTAAAATCTTCTAACTTATTTTTAGAATAAGAAGTGAGTGAATAAGCAGAAATAGTAATATATATTAAATTTTTGTTGGAATATCAAATTTTGAAGATTAATTCTAATTCATACTACTTATTGAATAAGATTTCTATAGTTAAGGTTAGCCTCTTTGGCTTATCACTTTTATTAGATTTATTAGAATTATATAGTGCTTTTTTCAAAAGGGCTTTAGACAAGTATATTCTAACGAGAATATATTCTAGCTATACCTGCATCTTTTGAGTGCCTAATTTAAGTAGTCTATCTATTACTAGGTTTATATTAGATGTCATATCTATAACCCATCTATTATTTGGATTACTCAATTAAATTCTCTGATCTGAGTTTTTTATGCCAATCCATCTAACCAATCATCTAGAATATGCAATATATTAGTTAGTTCAAGTTCTAGATTATCACATTTTATCTATAAAACAGCTATTTCTAATACATTCTTGAGTATATCACTTGCTATACTAGTCTGATATCCACTATTGCCATAATATCTAGTTTATTTCAGTAACTTATACTGAGTCTAAAGACAAGTACTTGCAAGCTAAAACCACTACTATTACTTATTCAGCTCTTGTAGATTTTACCCAAACCTCAGTATCTCCTCTTCAAGACAATCTGATACCTTCTCTTTTAGTACACTCTATAGCTAGTTTTCCTAGACTACTAATTCAAATGGCCTGGAAGAGATATCAGTCCTATAGTATCTACTAAACCTTTTCTTTCAATTAATATTCAAGCTAGTGGCCTAATTGGTAAAGCAACTTGCTAGGTGCTCTTGCTACATCTAGTTATTTGGCCTTAAGTAAAGGCTATTCAGTTAAAAGTCTGTACTACCTCTCTACTCAGGTCTTGCCAAGTGAATATCTATCTTTTTGATTCCTTGAATTAATGTGATCACAAAGAACTTATCTTGGGTTTGTATATATATACTGACAAAATTATTTTAGGCTTTGGGATACAAAATTAAAATTTGAAGATAAAATTGTTTTTGATCTATTTTACTTATAAGATGAAATTTTTTGATACTTTTTTGAAGAAACAAAATTATAAAGAATATAACTATCTAAATTAGATTTGTTTTTGCATATAAAAATTCCAAATTGCTCTAATAAAGATGAAATAGGGTTTTTTTGAAAACCTATTTCGGTGGCATGTATAGGTTTGTACTGCCCAATACCAGCTTATATACCTTTGTATAACTTATGCATTGTACAAATACTCTATGATCTCCAATCTTGTTAGTATTAAAAGTTACAAAGATCCTGTTTTAACTGATCATCAAAAACAGTAGCCATTATATAAACAGAATATTCAAAATTTTGCTATCAGTATATTTCAAATTTCTCACCCACCAATATACTGCTTGAAGGTGCAACAACTTAATCACTTCACTAAGTCATCACACCTTTGAATAAAATTTTCTTATTGCCTTATGATAGACAAGTTATTATATAATTTTTTAGTACAAAGAGTTTATTATATTGCTTACCATTATAATTAATATAATTGAGACAATATAATATAATTTACTTCATATTATATTCAAAATAGTTATTAAAAGGTTTGGATAATCTTCTATCTTTTTTTGTCAATAATAATAGAAATATCTAAACTAGATATATTTAGCAATTATCTGATTTCTAATTTTTTTAATAATTATATAGTTTATAGATCTGTTAGATTTTATCAACTAATACTTTCTTAATTTCAAATTCAATTTTTGCAAAAGATATTATAATAAATGAATATTGATTAGATATATAAAGTCCAAGCCTTATTGTCTAAAGTTTAGATAAAATTTTTTATATAACTATTCTAAAAAAAAGTATAATAAATAAAAAGCAAAGTGAATATATTTAAACTATTTTTTATTTTATAGCTTAGTGGACTAAACAACAAAAAGCTTATTGGGTTTTCCTTTTCTCACTACTTAGACAATTATAATCTGACAATTATATCTTTTAAAATTAGGTTTTTATAAATATAAAAAAAATAAAGTTAAAGACTTTATTGCTCAATAGAGACAAAATTTTTTGCATGACTATTAAAAGAAGAAGTAAATTGCAGAGAGGTAATAGTTGAATTTTAAACCTGTTTTGAAAGACTATAACTACACCTAAAAAAACTATTTTATAAAAGATAGATACAGTAGATTGCATATTTTTTATGAAACAAATGATTACCTTTACTAAAGTACTGGCCCACCAAATAGTAATTATAAGTATATCTAATCTCACAATACACATAGCCAGAGGCTCTATTGCTTCTACAATAGAAATAAATTTTTTTGTATGACTAAGTATATCTGCACAAATAGCTTCAGCAACTGTCTTATCAACACAAAAACAATCTAGTATAAGAAAGTAAAATATTGGTAAAAAATTTTATAAAATGAAAAAAGAGTTTATATATATACTTATTTGAGCCTCATGTACATAATGTACTTCAAGTTGGTTATTGTTATGTGGTTTGTTATATTTGGTGTTAATTGTAAATATCCTTTTTTTGACAATAGTTTGTTTTTAAGAGGTGGTTAGTAAACTAGCAAAAATAAAATTTTGATATTCTATTAGAAGTTGAATCGACCAAAAATTCATTGGCCAAACTGGTATGATCAAATTGGTCAAATAGTCTAGTCTATTAAATAAATAAATTTAATATACAAATATATATAAATATATGCATATGTATACTATATGAGTGACAGAGAGGGAAAACCTGTAAGTAAATATTTAAGTTAACATGCTGGCAAAGTTGCCCCTGAATGAATTTGTAATCTTACATAATTAATCACATATAAGATCAGTGTTCTGGTCATTTCTATAGATATGTGTCTCTTATATTTTTGTAGCACAATGTATATACGAATGTTCTATATCTGAGCTCTACAGTATGTCGGGTTTCAGAAACGACCAGAACACTTACGTAAGATCATAATTCTTCAGGGGATCATCTTTACCAAAGTGATAACTTAAATATTTACTTACAGGTTTTCCTTCTCCGTCACTCATATATTTAAAAAAATTTTTAACCAATTTGACCAATACTAAACCCTTTGACCAACTGGCCAAACTAGTCAAACTGGTCCGGTCCGTGCCAACTCTGATCCAATCAGGTTAGATCATCGTGAAAATCAAAATTCCGATGACTTTTGTTAGGGGAGTGTACTTTAAAGTGTATAAATAAGTTACCCGGGCAATTGATTTACACCAACCAATCAGACGAATTTCAGTTTCAGCCCATGTTTTAAATAAATTTCGTGTTATATAAATTGACGCGTCAAATCTCCAAAAAATAGACTCGTTCAGTTTTAAATTTACGAACATGTCTTCAACCGAGCATTACCCCGGCTACTTTGGTAAGCTTATACGACTGTAACTCAGATCTAAATATTTTTCACTGACATTTTAGCTTCTCTTAATCTATAGCTCTTCTCTCTTATCTTCATGAACGCGAGCACGTAGACTGGTCGTACTATGAGTTTTTGATACTTAACCGTGATGTCATGATATCTTCACCATTAAATGAAGATTGGAATGGCCTAGATGGTACATGGACTCGTAGATTTCTAAAAAACGCAGAAATGATGCTTGAATCAAAGGACTTTGAAACTTTAAAGGTCAAGGTATTAATTTTCTTTTATTTAGTCAAGGGAGCTCCCGTCAGCCAACGTCCTGACTCAGGAGTATCAGTCAACGTCCTGGCCCAAGTGATGGTAGTGGCACCTCTGGTCAGCCAACGCCCTGATTCAAGAGTATCAGTCAACGTCCTGAGCCTTACCATTGCGAATCTATATTTTTTTTTTTATTTGAAATTTCTATTTACTATCAACCAGAATCAGTTGTTACGATTAACTTTTTATTATCACCAAATTTAATATTTCATTATATAATAGGTAGATACTGAACGTTCAAATCATGGAATAAAGACCTATTGGGAAAATGTTATTCATGAGCAGAAAAAAGTACGCCAGGCCTTAAGTATCATTGTTTTGCTTTTATTAAACTTATTAAGGTATTATAAACCTTGACCAATATGCAATTAGTTGAATGTGAAACGCTCCCATATTCTTGGAAGTCTCGACCTCCTAGATAAAGCCGGGAAATATAATATTGAAGATTTATCCTCAGAAGGATTTTCGAATTCTTTTCCTGTTAATACGACACCTGCATCCAAACATGCACTTGATGGTTCTAACTCAACCTCTTCTCAGAGGATCAAGAAGGTTGGTATATATTGTAATTTATACTGTATATAATACAATGCATTGTTTTAATTTTTTGCTTGAATATTTGTGTATACAGACCAAAGCTGGCGAAAACGAAGAAGAATCAGTTAAAAAAACTGATATTCAAGAAGATATTGTGCATTCAATTGCCGAAACCACTAATACATTCGGAAATGTTGAATTCCCTGAATATTATAATAAGCTCAAGAAAATATGGAAAACCCGTGAAACAGGTTCAAATTACTATGTAATCGATATGAAAAATCAAGAAATATTAAATGAAGTACATAATCTTTTGGACGCGGAAGAATTGAAATTACTATATGATAGACTCTCTTCGGAAAGTGAGGACAAATATTTAAGTAAAAAGGCGCTTCAATATTTATCATTGTTTAATCAGGATTGTGAAGGTTATTCAGATAATGAAGAGATCGAAGATGAAATTATTTTGGAGATGAAAGAAGAAATCTGCAATTTGGACGGGCTAATAGCAAAATTTCAATATCTATCCCATGCTCTTCCTATCCCACTAAAACAATATAATGAATTATTATATCCAGAAATTTATATCATTAAAAGTATAGCATGCCATCTGAGCGCAATTACGAAGATGGAAGGAATTACTGATAACACCACGGAAAGATCATGGACAGCACATGTACTATCGTACATGTTTTTTATAGCTTTTAGTTATATTTCTTCTGTAACATTTTTTTCGTGCGAACGTACAATTTCCACAAAAAATGATTCACAAAATACCGACTATAAAGCTGATGGGGTTGCTGAACTGTTCAGAAGACCTAAACAAATTCCCGTGTTTATACTCGAGGTTTCAGGTGGCCCAGGTAATCCAGACCCGGATAAATACAATGATGATCGGAAGAAATTGTTTAGAGAAGGTATTTTTGCACTTAATAAATTTATAACCCGGACAGATCTTCCGAATTGGGAGGTTTGTGCCTCTTTGGGTGTTTTTTTGTCTCAAGGTTATGGTGAGTTATTTAAAATGTTTCAAAATATACTCTTTATTTTTTTAATTTTCCATTATTTATTTCAGAAGATAATCTTGAAATCGGACAGCTCATTTATATTGGCCCGGGACTTTATTTATATTCGCCTTTTACGATCCCTAATCTTATCATCCCAACTACTCCTTTTAATTTGCAACATGCCCCAAGACTTATTCAGTTTCCAAAGGTTTGAAGAAATAAGACAACAAAATATTACAAATCCAACCTATAAATTTCCTACTGGTCTTACACCAAATCGATCCCGAACTGTGACATTCACAAATTTTTTACCAAAAGAATCAAGAAAAGAGGCTTCTGATAAGGTGGATGAACAAGAGAATGGGTCTAAAGGAAGGGGAAGGGGCCGTGGAAGAGGAAAGGGACGTGATTTTTATTCTCTATAGGCGTTAAATAAAAAATTCCTAAATCAGATATATTAACATATAATATGCATTATGTATTATTTTTAATGCGAATATATGTATAAGTTTGATCTTTGAACGATCTATGAAAATGGTTTTTATAGATACAGAAATTATCAGTTATGAATCCAATTTACAGTTTGCATATTTCATATAAAAAATTATATATGCAAGATTATTTGTAATCACGAATTCTGATTTTATTTTTGTTGAAACGCAAATCATATATTAGCAGGTGCTAATTATGTTATACAAATGTTCTAATGATGAATCAAAATGAATCGAGTCTTTATTAGGTTTATTCCTGTTACTTTAATAGTAATATCCTGTGTCATCATTAGAAAACATTATTTATCTTATCAGAAAAATGATAGATTAGTACAGGATAAATATATTAAATGTTTAGATATTAAGTATTATAGATCAAATTTTTAAACGCTTGATTAACGAAATTCCTGATTTTTTGTATCCTTTCGGGGATAGCTATTTCTGGTTTTTCATCGTACCACACTTCAAATAAGAAAATTCCATTATCTTGACATATGCATCTTTTTAACCGATCACGATTAACAATGTCTTCAAGTTTTTTGATGTCCTTATACCAGCTAGTGTTATAAAACTGGTGCTGACTTCCTTGAACCTCTAATGCGATTTGATATTTTTGAAAGAAGGCATCAAATTCCAATCCATTCAAGAAGGGAGGTCGGTACTCAATTATCGGTTCCTAACTTTCACTTGGATTTTAGCTTTGATTTTTTTGATTTTTGCTTTGACTTTGACTTTCACTTTGACTCTCACTTAGACTCTTCTATGAATTCGCTTTGATTTCGTTTTGACTTTGACTTTCACTTTAACTTACAATTTTGTTTTGACTTTGACTTTCGCTTTGACTTTTGTTTGACTTTGACCTTCTCTTCGGCTTTCGTTTTAACTTTCACTTTTATTTTGTGAATTTTTGCCGTGCTGATTTCACAAAAATATAAGTTTATGAATATTTTATACTTTGCTTTACTTTGCTTCTTGTTTATTAATGTTAATTTAGCAACAGTACGGGACAGTAAAAGACATCCAATCTATACATAGAGGCGCCAATTTTTGATGCTTATATAATCAATTCTGAT